GGTCCTACCTGGCTGCTAAACTGGTCCATGCAGCCTCTTCTCCCTGGGTTCCAGCAGTCTAAGCACTGCTGATGTCATCATGTGTAATGCAGGTCCATTCTCCTGCATTAGATGTGTGGACACCGAGGGATTTACCACAGATGGAGCAGAGGGAGAGAGAGCTGAGCGCTGACTGCTACAGGACAAAGGATCAGGTGAGTATATGCTTCAGCTGCCATTGTGATGTGCGGGGCCTTTGGTGTGTCCCTGTGCCTTTAAGGAGGTTGGGCTACCTCCTGTCGAACGTACATCCAAATCATCCTTTGCTGTATATGCTCCAAGATGGACGCTCTCATAGGAATTAGAGTTAGGACTGCACTACACAAAGGGGCCTTGATGAGGCAGTGTGGCTTCCACATATTTTGCCAAATTTTTGAAACTAAAACCTCTGTTTTTAACCTTATTAGTTAGAAAGGTTTTTTTTGCAGGCTGGCTGGTGATTGCAGCATATCAACTGCTGTTGTTTGTGACCACCAGCAAGTCATTCCCTTATTTGCCCAATGCGTTCTGGCAGGGCCATTCACGAGTGACTAACGGGAACGATCACCATCTCTATCTAGCCCACTATGACTTTGCATATCTTGGCGACTGATAACATATTAAAAGAGAACTATGAGGTGAGTGCTTTTCACTCACCTCATAGTTCAAGCCGACCTGTGACAATGAAACTGTCACAGGTCGGCTCAGTAGATCGGGAATTGAGCGAACACATACGGGCGTTCGCTCACTTCTCGATCCTGTCACGTCTCTCTGTCGTGACAGGGGAGGACTGGATTCCCCCCTCCCCGCTCCGATCCTCCAGCGCTGACTGGCGGAACGGACGGGGGAAGGGGCAGGTACAGCTGGCTCTGCCTCTAGATAGGCAGAGCCAGCTGTCACTCACGCAGCTGGGCGGATCCAGTCATAATTGTCGGGATGCGCTTCAGCTGCGGCGTCTCAGTATACCGTGAGCTATACTGAGCTTAGGGTGACGGGAGGACGCTAGTTTGTGTCCTCCCGTTACCCTAAGGAGAACTATGGGGGAAAGCCCTAACCCCATAGTTCTCCTTTACTCTCACCACAACCTTTTTAATCACTTCCTTCTCAAGGGGGCTTACTTTTGCCTAAATGAAGCATGTTATATTACTATTGGGGTGTCGGTGTATTGTTGGGTCCATCTAAACGCTAGGTCACCACCAGAAATGTTACGGCCATGGAAAAGGACGTATAGGAGTAGTGGCCCATGGGATTGGCGCACTTCCAAAACAATAAAAAGTTTTAATTAAGTTGATTTAATCAAAAGTATTAGTTTTATATAATAGGTGAATTAAATAAAAAAATGTATCTGGTATGTTGTCGAATACCCTGCTGGCTCTTTTTTCTATTTTCAGGTTGCTAAGGGGCATAGCTGTATATGGGCAGAATCAAAGGGATCGATATGACGCTTACCAGTAGTTGCGTCTATCACCGTGCAGAATCCCTGGACAGCTGGCATATGGATTGGTCTTCTTGTTTTGGAGGGAAAACAGCTGGCCAATTGTGGTGTCATGGAGTGTATAAAAACTGGCCTTAGTTACTGGGCAGTTCATCATTACCACACAGTTCAGCAGGAGTAGTCAGATCAGCTTTATCTCTGGATTGCCTTGAATTTGCTTCCCGCCTGTATCTTGGGCTTGTCGCAGTCATCCTTTGTTGCGGTAATGTCGCCCACTTTGTGGGTGGACAGGAAGTAGAGGTCTTGAGTGGTATTTTCATGGACTCTTTGCTTGAGTCTTTTGACTGAGCATTATTGGACTGTTATTTATAGTGGTTTATGGTTAAAAGTTTTTAAATGGTTAACAGAAATGTATTGTTATTTATAAACAATGAAGGGGCCGCGGCCTTATTTTTCCACACTACAGTGTTGAGTCTATTATTTCAAGATTTATATATGTGGGTATATAGGTATGTATATATTAGGGCTGCGGAAATTAACGATTAATTTCTCGATTAATCAATAAACTTTTTGAGCGATTTAAATTATTTTGATCGCTAATGAAAACACTCACCGGACTTCTCCCCCCTTCCCCAAGTGGCTCCGTCGGCTAACGAAGGGAACAGGGGAGGAGTCCGGTGATGTCCGTGACGGCTAACGAAGGGAAGGGGGAGGAGTCCGGTGACATCACCAGACTCCTCCCCCCTTCCCTTCGTTAGCCGACGGAGCCACTTGGGCTGGTGAGTTTGCCCAAGAAACTTTCTGCACAAGCCAAGGCATTGGCCTATACACATACAGCACAGCAATTAAGTAATAAAATGAACTAGGATCACACTAATCCGGCACGTTATTATTCTGAGTTGCCCCACTCAAGTGGCGGCCATATTGAGTGGGGCACGTGAGATTAATAACGTGCTGGATTAGTGTGATCCTAGTTCATTTTATTACTTCATTGCTGTGCTGTATGTGTATAGGCCAATGTAGTTGGATCTGTATGTGCGTTATAATTAATCGAAATTAATCGATTAAAAAAAATTTGATTAATCGAACACGAAAATTTTAATCAGTAACAGCCCTAGTATATATGTATATGTATATATGGGTTAAGAACAATTATTGAAGGTATTTGTTTTGTTTATAGGGCGTACAATCCCATGGTATTGGAAAGAAACATTTTCAGCAGCTCCTTTTGGGGGCCATTACTACATTTGGAAAACATTTTTTTTCCCAATTTACACGTAATAGTGATTTATGAATGAAAGATACAACAGTTCTTTTCATTTATAAATGAATGTAGAGCAGGACCCAATCTGTCAAGCTGATAGCTCACTCCTCCAGATTACACAGCAGGGATGTGTAGTCAGGGGAGGCAGAACCCCACCTAGTATTATAGAGGAAAAAGCTGTCAGCTTCAAGTCTGAAGCTGACAGCTTTTTGTCCATTCAGATCGGCTTCTAGCAGGTTACACAGCAGGGAAAGCCTCACCGCTGTGTAACAAGCAGTGTTCCCCACTGCTTGTGTAACCTAACTAGTGAGGCAAGAGCTGTCACAGCCTCTACTCTGTGTTAGAGGCGTGAGCTCTGTGGATGGCTTGGACCAATGGCAAAGCGCCATTGGTCCAAGCTGTCCAATCAAAAAAAGAAAAAGAAAAAACACTGAGGCCATCGATCTCGATGTCTCAGCAGTGACGAGCAAGTGAGGGACAGGGAAGCTCCTCCCTGTCTCCTCCCTTCCTCCTCCCTCCTTCACACTAGCTTGGGAACCGGGTTGGGGGCAGGGTTTCTGCGGGCGGGGCAGAGCTTCAGTGGGCTGGAAGGCGGGGCGGGACATGCTAGGGAATGCCTCACCCGGAACCAAACGGCACGTCACTGTTACACAGAGATAATGCAACTCACCCTGTGCAATTATTGGAGTTCTGTGACAGTCAGTAGCTTCTGATATAGAGTGGCCGGCTGTCATACTGACAGTGGACTAGAGTGCCACTGGTTACACAGGGAGAGCCATGATCTCCTATTGTAATCTGGAGGATTGAGCTATCAGTTTGAATTATCAATCCTGCACTGTGAAAGGAGACAACCAGGTTATGTAGAGGCAGGTGAGGCTCCCAGCCCAGCTGCGCCCCCTGCGCCCAAGCTGGATGCCTTTTCTGTCTCTGCCTCGGCTTGGCCCTGGCTCTATTTAATACTACCAGCCTGGAGTTGATGGATTATTTGATGAGTTCAAGAGCATTGCTCCAAACTCTTAAAAGCACTTTGAAAATGCTTGCTAATTCTGAAGCTGCTCAGATTACTGTTTACAAGCTAGAATTCAAAGATGCTCACATACAGTGTACTGGGTCAGTGAAGTCAAAGTGGGACTTAGCAGGGGGTGGGTTCTAGGAATTGGTAGATGGAGGAGAACATTGCATAGTTCTCTCACTATCCTTCATTAGAACAGACCCTGCTGGATACGGTAGCAACGAGTCATCCTTTAAAGTGACATTAAACCCTCAGATTTTTTAACATAAACCAATATTGTAATGTGCGCCTTACTGTAATCCATGGTAGTTTCCCTTCTCTTTGCTGCTCTTCCTTTTAAATCCTCATGTCTTCTCATGCTGGGGGAGAACTTCCCTTTGCAACTGAGTGCCTCTTCCTGTAGTGCTGGCTCAGGTTGCAAACCTACACACAGACACCATGTATCCATTTCAGAGACAAGGCAGTCTGCTGCAAAAAAGTTCTGCCCAGCATGAGAACAGATACAGATTTAAAAGGAAGACCAGCAAAGAGAAGGGAAACAACCATGGATTACAGTAAGGCACACATTACACTATTGGTTTATGTTAAAAAATCTGAGTGTTTAATGTCACTTTAAGTTAAATTTTAGTTGACATCATGAAAGCAATGTGACTTCTTTCAAACTGTTCCTCCATATCAAAGAGTAATCGGTGTACACCATAAAATCTCATCCTATAATTACCATCCCTGCAGAAGAAAGATAGTACAGTAATTATCGTAAACCTGCCTAAGAATATAGCAACGGAGCACACATTAGTGCCTGCAAGCATTGAGGAGGTGGAGATATTTTTGCCTCTTACAACTGGTCTTCCTTGATTTTTATCTTCCTCTAAGTTTAGAAAATGGATTGTTTCCCCCACCCCCTCACCTCATGCTATCCCTCTCATACCATTTTCTAGCTTTAGAATTCTCCTTTCCCTTTGAAAAGGTCAAATTGAGTAACAATTTAACATTGAGTAACATCTCCGCTCCTTTTATCTCGCTCCTTTAGTCGTGCCGAGGGTTCCTTGCATTGCTGGAAATAATTGACCCTCTAAAAGAAAGCCTGCTGTTTTCTGATCATGGACTATCCATGAAATGATAACTTCTAAGAATTCCATAGTGCGAGATATGAGATTTATCCGGCAATCACTAGAAAACATGCACTTTTGTGAAGCACTTACAATTCTGCATTCGGACTAGTTCATGGCAGAGTTTCTGGGTCTGCTTTGTACATTATGAGGGGCTTCCACCTTTCCTGCACTGAATTCCTGGGTCTGAACACCAGGTGTTTCCATTACGAGGGGCTCCCACGATCCCTGTGCTGAGCTCCTGCGTCTCCACAGCTTCTGTGCCCATAATGAGGGGTTCCACCATCCCTGAGCTACGTTCCCCGGTCTGCATACCTGCTGTACCCATTATGAGGGATTTTCCACCATCTCTGAGCTGGGTTCCAGGGTCTGCACAGCTTCTCTGCCCATTATGAGAGGTTCCCACCATCCCTGAGCTGAGTTCCTGGGTCTGCACACCTGTTGTGACAATTATTAGGGGTTCCCACCATCCCTGAGCTGAGTTCCCGGGCCTGCACACCTACTGTGTCCATTATAAGGGGCTCCCACCATCCCAGAGCTGAGTTCCCGGGCCTGCACACTTACTGTGTCAATTATAAGGGGCTCCCACCTTCCCTGAGCTGAGTTCCCGGGCCTGCACACCTACTGTGTCCATTATAAGAGGCTCCCACCATCCAAGAGCGGCCTGCCCACCTGCTGTGCCCGTTTTTGAGGGTCTCCCACCATCCTTGCTCTGAGTTCCCTAATCAGCACACCTGAATTGGATATACAGAATTGGGTATAGCTGTGCCACACTATACAGTGTTCTGGAGTCTGGACATGTGCTCATCTATTTTCCCCACTATGGGGATACAAGCCTTAGTTAGCAATGGCATGATCTAAATATTTATTTCATTATTCAATGTCTTTTTTTTATATTATAAAGTTTATAATATAAAAAAGAAATAAAAGAATATTTAGATCATGCCATTGCTAACTAAGGCTTGTATCCCCCTAGTGGGGAAAATAGATGAGCACATGTCCAGACTCCAGAACACTGTATTGTATAGTGTGGCACAGTTATATCCAATTCTGTATACCTGGCACATTTTAAAAAAATACAAAAGATATTGATATACAGGTCCAGGAATGCCTTGCAATGTTATTAATACAGCATGGTCAAAGATGAATGAATCCTTACCTGATATAATCACTATTCAGCAATGGAAAAAAAATATTTTATTTATTCATGCTGTATTTACTCAGCTATGAATCCTTGGCTGGAACCCATAGTTTTGCACCTGCAAGTTGCAATATCACAGGCAAAACCTCTGCTTTTGCTCCAATTATAACTCCACCAAGCTTTTCCAAAAGTAAAAAAAATAATCTTAAACTTACATTTAGGCCTCATTCACATGACTAACAGCCGGCCCGTTCAGATTCATGCTGTGGACTGCGGGTGTCCCTGCTCGGACGCAGACAGGATCCATCCGCAGCACGGATCTGTACGGGCCGGCTGTTAATATATTAATATAAATATTAAGAAACTGACCTAAAATCATTAGTTTGTATTGCTTTAGAAAAAATGTGACCTGTCCCTTTAAGAAAAAGTATCGGTAATTGGTATCGGTGAGTACTTGAAAAAAGTATCGGTACTCGTACTTGGTCTTAAAAAAGTGGTATCGGTGCATCCCTAGTTTTTATTCATTTTATATTATGGAGAATCCGAATATAACAGGTGGAGCTGAAAAACCACAATAAGGAGGGTGTGAACAGCCAAAACTCCTAACTGTACAGGGGAAGAGATGGGAATTATGGTTGGGGACATCACTTTTGGAGCATCCAAGATATCTAGGAAGCCAGGGGATGTGGTGAAAGATGTTGGCTAGTAAAATATTTTTCACTGGACATAGACTGTATTGCAGGTTTTCCTCTATACAGAAGTGGCAGTGAGACTGTATTGCAGGATATACTGTATACAGAAGTGGCAGTGAGAAATGTGTGTACACAGTTTCCTTGGTAGGGGGGAGTTTTCCATCCTCAGTGGAAGCAATAAATACATAGTAACGGCAGACGAGCTCAGCACTTGCCTCTCACAGTAGGTTCATTATCTTTTCAAATATTACATTATCATATTATTCTTCCTCAGATTACATAACTTCATTAATGCAGTTAGACGCTATGTACTTGCTCCATTACCAGGGTAATTGTCCTCAGCTAACATACTAAACAGAAGAATCCTCAGGCAAATACATAGAAACAGATTTAGTTCATTAATTCATTTTTTTTAAATCAAGTATTATAATTGCATGAAATTGCTCTTCTTTTTGAGCTGATACATAACAGCTGATGAAAGGAATTCTGAGCTATATTGTTTTAATGTCATTGTCCCCCAGCAGTTCCGCTCCTTCGCCACAACATGTCCTCATGCTTCCAGGTTGAATAATGCACAGTGTTACTTTATCTGGATGTTTGCGAATGTAGAGTGTTATTTCACCGACCCCTCCCAAGCACAGCGCACTACACTTATATTGTATACATGTAGAGATGCATGTGATGACATCATCACCACTCTTGGCATCATCTTGGATCCATTGCTGGAAGACAACCGAAAAGGAGAAGGACCCAGCGTGCTGCTTGGCCAGCTAGAAGACATTAAGCCCCAATTGACATCTATGCAATGGTGGAACCTGTGCGTTTCTGCACATATTCCCGCATTGCATGAGATTACGTATGACACTGTTTGGTGGCACCCCAACCCACCTAGCCATCACATGTACTGTATGTTCCATTACTACAATGCATTCTGGTGCAATGAGATTTAAAATAAAGGTGACATGCAATTCTTTGGTGCGATTTAGATGTGGTAGGCACCCCATTTCAATGAAAGGGCTGCACTACTGTGACACATACCGTAGTAATGAATATAAATGCATCGCAATGCACATGAAAAGTCACGTCATACAGGTGTGAATTAAGCCTAAAATAATATAAGTAAAAGAAGAAAATGGCTGGTGGGGCTTTAAGAGAGGGAACGGTGTCTTCTGGGGGGGAGCCACAGAGCTTGGAGTTAGGTGGGAGAGGACCCAGGGTGGGTATAGTGATGTACTCTACTAGTCCATAGAGTTAGGAGGTGGCCAGTAGCACAAAGGTGGAACACTTGCAGCTTCTTAAAATTAGATATGTGAGACTCCATAAGGATGTCACAGGAGTACAGGTATTACTCGATAGCATAGCCAGAGATATAAATGAATATAAATTACCTTATTAACAAGTTAGATCAGCCTTTCTCAACCAGGGTGTCTCCTGGCTTCCTCAGGGGTGCCTTGAAATGTTCACACAGTGTCATGCCTCTGATGTGAAGAAGGCTCCTGATGTGAAGGGGGCTCCCAATGTAAAAGAGAGGGACTCTGATGTCAAAGAGGGGCATTCCGATACGAAAGGAAGGGGCTTCTGATGTGATGGGGGGGAGCTCTAATGTGAAGGGGGCTTCTAATGTGAAGGGGGGCTCCCGATGTGTAAGAGAGGGACTATTATGTGAAAGTGGGGAAGTCTGATGTCAAGGAGGGGGATTCAGATATAAAAGGAAGGGGCTCCTGATGTGAAAGGGGGAGCTCTGTTGTAAAGGGGAAATCTCACTTTGTATTTTTGCATCGGGTCCTGCCTTAAAATCCATACCAGACCCCTATCTCACATAATGTTCTGGTATAGATTTTGGAAGGACCACATGCAGGGTTTTTTTTGTGTTTTTTTTACATTGACATACTGTATGTTTAAATTTAAGACTGCAGTGCCTTGAGATTGTGCATACCTGCCATGGCTGAAAAAAGGTTTGGAAATGCTGGCTTAGATGGACACAAACTGAACACGTGTCACAATATGATTGTACAATCTTTATACAATACCAAAATTATGTAGGAAAAGCCCTTACTAAACAATCCATTCTATCTCAATCCAGTCGGGTAGGCTGTCATACTACATAGAGTAGTTTAGAGTAGAGTAGTTGTTGGTAGATTTAAAGGAGAGATTGTACTATCAGGTTGCAAGGTGTATGATTACCAACAAGCATAGGATGCAGGGACTTGCTTAAAGGAGAACTATGAGGTGAGTGCTTTTCACTCACCTAATAGTTCTAGCCGACCTGTGACAATGAGACTGTCACAGGTCGGCTCAGTAGATCGGGATGTGAGCGAACACATACCGGCGTTCGCTCACCTCTCGATCCTGTCACGGCTCTCTGCCGTGACAAGGGAGGGGCTGGATTCCCCCCTCCCCGCTCCGATCCGCCAGCGCTGACTGGCGGAACAGACGGGGGAGGGGGAGGGTACAGCTGGCTCTGCCTCTAGATAAGCAGAGCCAGCTGTCAGTCACGCAGCTGGGCGGATCCCGGCACAATTGTCGGGATCCGCTTCAGCAGCGGCGCCTCAGTATACCGCGAGCTACAGCTTGCGGTATACTGAGCCTAGGGTGACGGGAGGACGCTAGTTTGTGTCCTCCCGTTACCCTAAGGAGAACTATGGGGAAAAGCGTTAACCACATAGTTCTCCTTTAACTGGATATACTGTATAACATTGAATAGAATGTAGTGTGAAGGCGTACCTAAACATAAAAGAGATTGTACAGAGATTGTATAATCAGATTGTAGCAGCCAGTTTAAGTCTACAGAGAAGCTGGTTACACACATTGCAATCTGTTTGTGCAATCTTTGTATATTTTGGATTTACCAAAACTGGTTTATCACAACCTATTCGAGACCTTGCAGTACTTTACAGTAAAAAAAAAACTTTTTCACATTTTTAAAAAATATTTTGATATTTTTTAAATAAACTTTTTAATTTTTTAGTTGTTTTATTTTTATTTATTTCTTTTTATTAAATATTTTAATTTTTTACTTTACTTTTAGGGGCTTTGCGGAAAGCCTGATATTTCCCTTTTAAAATAGAAAAAGAGAACGAATACTAACCCCACCTATAATATTAACCCTGCCTGTAATGCTAGCACTAACATTCCCTGTAATATAAGCCCTCCATGTAATCCTAACACTATTCTTCCTGTAACTCTAACACTCATCCCACCTGTCATATTAACCCTCCCTGAACCTCTAACACTAACCCTCCCTCCCTGTAATATAAGCCCTCCATATAACCCCAACTGTAACCCTTCCTGTTATCCTAACACTAATCCCACCTGTCATCAGTGGCGTAACAATCACCATAGCGACCCAGGCGGTCGCTATGAGGCCCAGGGCACAGTGGGGCCCGGCCGCCTGGGTCGCTATGGGATCTTCTGCTGCTGGCTTTCACTGGCGTCTGAAGACGAACACGCCGCTGTTCAGATCATCTGTGCAGCGGCGCGTTCGTCTCCAGAGTC